CACAAGCTCGTCGCTCTAGTCCCTCTTCTTCACTAAACAGTGACACTCGCTACTAAAAATACATGATGACTACGTCGACATCTCAGTCATCTGAATCAGCTATAATAAAGCCTGAGATGTAAGTATCAACCCAATTATTCACATTTGTTGATTTAATTTATTTGGCATTGTGAATTTATCTGCATTAGAACCTTTAGAACCCTAAGTTGATATTGTATCTCTTGTGTTGTGTTTTACAGTAAGCATGATATCAAAATTTATTGCAATATACGTGGATATTGTCAATTCATGGATAGAATTGTTCCACGTATGAGGGCTGAACATTGGAAGCCTTATGGATCCTCCAATTTTAAAAACTATATTAGTTTTGGAGCAATTCTATCGAACAAGGTCACGATCATGTTGCTGCTAGATCATCTGGATTTAGCCACGGGAAAGTTTTTTTTTCAAGGATAGCCAAACTGGGACTAAACAAGCGTACACGTTTGATGTAAATTAGGTGCTTTAACATACCCGATTTAATGATGAAGAGGAGAAACCCGAAGGCAATCGCGATACGGAGAATAGGATATGGACCACATACTTCAACAACAAGCAACAATCGCAATACAAGAGTGGCCGAGACTACCTTGAGGTCCTATTGGAAAAATTGGTTCAGTCAAAAAAGATGACGGATGTTTCAGATTTTGTTATGCTTCAAATCCTCTATCAACTCACAGTGATATGGACTCTGACTGCGAGAATGAATGCACCGCGGCATATGTTCAAATATATGGCTCGGATAGATATGGTTAATCATTTCCCATTGGCGACGATCATCTACAAGGAATTGTGGGACTCTTTCAAGGCTGTGAAGATAGCAAAGAAGGGATAGACATATCTTAGCGGTTGCATTCCCTTGCTATCGGTGAGTTATATGTGTTATTTATAAGTAATATGTTGCATTTGCACCTTATCTGTGATCATTACCTTTTACATGTGATATATGACACTTATATGTGACATTTGTATCTAATTTGTATTGTTTAAGTTTGCTATTTATTTGTAGTTTGTATGTGATATTATCTTGTTATATGAGATTATTGTCATTTAAATGTGATATATCACATTAATATATGACATTTGTCCCTGCTATTCATTGTTTAATTGTGATATTTATAGTTAATATGTGTTTATGTGATAAGTGTCTTCTACATGTGATATATTCTAATGATATGTGACGTTTGTGACCCATGTGTGACATTTGTCCCTGATATGTGACATTTGTAGTTAATGTGTGATATTATCTTCTTGTATTTGATTATTGCCATTTATCTGTGACATTTGTATCTAATATGTTATACTTCATTGTTTGAATGTGGCCTTTTTGAAGCTATGGTACTATGAGATTTCAAACATCAAGGAACCGACAAGAGTTGATGAATCCAAGCCACCAATGATAAATTAGACGTTAGAGGGTAAGAAGGTGGGTTTGTTGCGGACTACAATGATTATGAAGAAATCAGAAGCCGCAATTCACATCTTACCGGAGCAAGATATGCCGAGGTATGTCCATGAGGAGATAAAGCAAAAGCCTACAAAGATGAAGGCTAAAATAGAGGAGGATGTTACGACTGAAAAATCTTTGAGAAAGATAAGAGTCAAAAAAGAGGTAATGTTGATGATATTATGTGTGATCTTCTTATTTGTGACATTTCCTCACTATCAGTTTATTTGTTAATGTAGAATGAAGCTTATGAAAAGCTGGTGATGTTGAATGAGGCCTATGAGCAAGAACTTGTTGCTCGCGGTGTTGATACGATGGCCATTAAGGTTGAAACTGAGAAAAGATTTGCAGAACAGAAACATATCAGGCAAAAGAAAGAAGAGGTAATAACTTATTTCTTGTTTCACATGAGGAAAAAAGATATTGAGAAAATATTTGTTGAATTTAAATTGGTTATTGTTTTGACATTTATGCAGCCTCAAATAGAGAGAAAAGACGAGGCAGAGAAAGAAGAAGGGAAGGAAGATGAGGCAGAGAAAGAAGGTGATCAAACCCAAGACATGAGCATTGAACTTGAGGAGGTAACTCTTCTTTGTGATATTTGCTTATTGCCTGTGATATTAACACCTTATTTGTGATATTCCCTGTTATTTGTGACAATTTTCAACCCTTTGTG